GAACTTCCAGCAACTGGCAATTCCATTCAGGTGAGCGTGCGAGGATGTTTGTATTAATTAACGAGAGCCAATGGCGGATGAGCTGGTATGAGAGGTTGTCCAGAAATGTAGTGTGTGATCAACAAGGTGATGCCCGCCGTGGTGGTCTAGTGGCTATAAGGTACTTGGGATCGAATCCCGGCTGCAGCGGCTGCATTTCCCTGTGCTCAGATTAGGGTGCACTATAAAGAACCCCAGGTGGTCAAAATTTCTGGAGCCCTCCATTACGGTGTCTCTCATAATCATATGGTGGTTTTGGGACGTCAAACCCCACATATCATCATATTGTCATCAAGGCGATGGCTGAGGGCACCAACGAGGTAGCTGACCACGTGGCAAAGAATTACAGCCACCGCTAGCCGAAGCTGGGACGCAGGTCAGTGGACATAGGAAAAGAACATCGGGGCTTTGCCGCTCCACCGTACAGCAGGTGTGTGCGGGGTGGGTCCTTTGGCGTTCTTTGCGATTTTAATTTGTGATGGGGAATAGTGTAGATGTGTAGACGTGGCCAGAGCACGCGTCGTCAGGTTGAGACGTCGCGTAAAGATGTGAAATAAAAATGCCTTCGCTTGTCACTGCAACTGTAAACGGAAACACCAAGACCCATTTTCTAGAGACTGTTTTAATTTTTGTTCTGAAATGGGTGAATTAGAAAAGCAGAAATAGCTTGGAACATATATACACACTTCTAGCTTTTCTCTGAAACAGTAATCATAAGTTACCCAATAGTTATATTAATATTGTTATGAGTAACTTGTTTAATGAGGTATTTACAGCGCAGAGAACCCGACGAGCAAGATGGCGTCAGACCAGCATCCAACGAAAAAACCCAGTTCGTCCTCTTCTGTCTTGCAGCCGTGTTTAGTGGCTGTTTTGTATCATAACCCCCGGCGGTAGAAGCACCGTACAGGTGCTAAATTTACGCAGATGATGTCAAAGGGGGGTAATAGGGCTTTAGCCGAGCCACGTGAAAGGTGTCGCGAGGCGTTGACTTCAGTTTGTCTATGATGGCTCGTAAAGAAGCATCCCGACGTTGCTCTTCGCCAATGTTTAACAGCTGCTACACGGAAAAAACGTCCGTGATAGCGTCAGTATCAGTTGCTTCGGCAACAGGGTAGCGGGATAAACAAACCGCATCCTGATGTAATCGCCTTGTTTTGTACATTACAGAGAACGTGTACTCTTGAAGGCGTAGAGCCACACGAGCGAGACGTCCCGTGGGGTCCTTCAGGGAGGCTAGCCACCAGAGCGCGTCATGATCCGTGACAACACGTAATGAGCGCCCGTACAGGTATGGGCGAATATTGGCGACTGCCCATATAAGGGCGAGGCACTCGCGCTCCTTGATGGAATAGTTGCGCTCGGCTGGAGATAGCGGTCGACTTGCGTAGGCTATAACACGGTCGTGTCCGCGTTGTTGCTGCAATAGCACAGCTCCTATGCCGTGTCCACTGGCGTCCGTGTGAACCTCGGTTGGAGCTAATGGATCAAAGTGAGCCAAGATTGGTGGCGTTGTAAGCAATGTCGTAAGTTGCGAAAACGATGACGCTTAGTCATGGCCCCATGTAAACGAGGCGTCTTTCTTCAAGAGGTCTGTGAGTGGGCGTGCAATGGTCGCAAAGTCCTTAACAAAGCGTCTGAAATATGAGCACAACCCCAAAAAAACTGCGGACATTCTTTGTGGTCTTCGGAACGGGAAAGTTCGTGACTGCGCGAATTTTCTCCGGGTCTGGACGCACGCCTTGAGCATCGACAAGGTGACCGAGCACGGAAATTTGATGACCAGCGATGCGGCACTTGGAGGCGTTAAGCTACAGTCCGGCTCGACGAAAAACGTCAAGAATAGCTGACAAACGATCAAGATGCGAGTCGAATGTGGGCGAAAAGATGATAACATCTTCAAGGTAACACAAGCAGGTGGACCATTTCAGCCCTTGGAGCAATGAGTCCATCATTCTTTCAAATGTGGCTGGTGCATTGCAGAGTCCAAAGGGCATCACCTTAAACTGATAAAGACCATCAGGAGTGATGAATGCGGTCTTGTCGCGGTCCATCTAGCGACGGCTATCTGCCAGTACCCTGATCGAAGGTCAATAGTTGAAAAATAAGTGGCACCGTACAGGCAGTCGAGGGCATCGTCGATGCGAGGTAAAGGATAAACGTCTTTTTTTGGTAATTTTGCTAAGGTGACGGTTATCGACAGAAAAGCGCCGTGTTCCATCTTTCTTTTTAACAAGGACGACTGGAGAAGCCCCGGGGCTGCATGAATGCTCGATAAAGTTTTTCGCAATCATTTTGCCGATTTAATGTTGTAATATTGCACGCTCCGACGCGGACACACGGTAGGGGCGTCGGTGATTGGGGGTTGCATGGCCAGTATTTACGCGATGGGTGACAATGGTCGTTTGGCCCAAAGAGTTGCTTGCAAAGTCGAAAATGCTACGATAGCCCTCAAGAACGTGGCAAAGCGCTGCAGCTTGCTCAGACGTGAGGTCCGATGACACCATTCGCTCGATGTCGGCGCCCCAAGAACGTGATGGAGGGAACCACTGACTGAGCTGCAGCAATCGTCAACTCTGAAGGGCTCGACATGGTCATCTTGGAGAGCAGTAATTTTGGCCAGGGAGATACCCTGTGGCAGAACTTGGGCGGTGAGTGAAAAGCTGACCAGTGGAAGGAAGGTGCGGTTTCTCTTAATCGTCAGAATTATATGCGGCACAGCAACCCCATGCGTAAGCATCACTGCAGGAATCGGGGCCACCATGTAATCACCATCAGGTACTGACGGCGTGGAGGATAAGTCGACATGTGTGACAGAGTTAGGAGGGAGGCGCGTGAAATCAATGCAGCAGAGGCTGGTTTGTGGTGGGCTGGTCGGGTTGGAAAAGAGGGGTAAATCGAGATGGAGAGAGCCAGCTGAACAGTCTATGAGGGCAGAATGCGTGGCTAGAAAATCCATACCAAGTATGAGTCCATGAGGGCAATGTTCGATAACGGCGAAAAGAACGACAGTGCTTCTCTCCCCAATAGACACTCGCGCAGAGCACATGCCAAGAATTGCAGCAGTTCTTCCATCGCCGACTCGTACAGCTCGATTGAGGGCAGGCGTGACAACTTTTCTAAGTCGGCGGCGAAGATTAGCACTCATAATGGACACATGCGCACCAGTATCTATCAATGCACTGACACGAACATTGTCGACAGTAACGTCCAAAAGGTTCCGGTTCGTTGTTAATGTTATTCGAGGATTTCTTACGAAGGTCGTCAACGCAGCTCCACCCCCAGAAGCTACACGGCCTAGTTTTCCAGTCGGAGATGCTGCGAATATGTCGGGGAGCAGCGCGGCGTTGTGGGGGCGACCGGGACTGACGACGAGCAGGGGATGGTGACCAGTCGTAGCGAGGTCTGCTCAGAGATGCTGTAGGAGCGGAAAATGTGGTCGGCGTTGATGGAGAAATTGGTGGGGACGCCTGGCGAGCAGAAGTGGTGTGATACTGAGGTGAATAATGGGACGGTGGAGCCCAGCGGCTGCGGCAGTGACGAGCCATATGACCAATGTGTCGACAGTTAAATTATATCGGCCTGTCATCAAGAGTACGCTATTCGGACGGATTTCGTTGTATGCGAGGTGCAGAAGGGGTACGATAAGAAGGCTCAGCAGAGTATACGGTAGGAACAGGATGTAGGCCGACATTCGATAGCTCTTGACAAACGACCGCTTGTATTAAAGAGATCGTGGTCGGGGAAGGCGCAGGCGTTGGTAATGGCGTGGCTACCGGTTGTGCTGCCTCGACCTCTCGACGAATGATGCGTGTAAGGTTGTCACATCGAGGGGCCTGGTGGAAGGCGTCGTCACACGAAAAAGTGGCTTCTGTGTTCGGAAGACGCACGATGCTTTGGGCTACGCGGCGGGCTTTAGCTTGTTCGAGACGTCGGCATTCTTTAAGGATTGTGTCGATGCTCGAGACGTTGTTAAAAACCAGCAGGTTGAAAGCATCGTCAGCAATGCCTTTCAAGACGTGGTTAAGCTTTTCATCTTCCGACATAGACCGGTCGGCCTTGGAACAAAGGGCCAGGACGTCAAGAATGTAAGAGACGTACGATTCGGTAGAAGACTGGGCCCCTGTGGCAAGAGTCTTCTTCGCAGCGAGCTGACGACCACATGAATCGCCAAACAGGTCACGTATCTTTTCTTAGATGAGATCCCATCTCGTTATGTGGGCTTCGTGGCTTTCAAACCACGTTCGGGGAGTGCCGTCCAGGTAGAAAAACACGTTGGCGAGCATGAGTGTGGCATCCCATCAGTGAGTAGCACTGACGTGCTCGTACCCCTTCAGCCAAGTGTCGAGATCGATCGTACCATCACCGGAGAAAGTGCCGGGATCCCGGAGGTGCGGTAGTGTGACGTAGGTGGTGGCTTGGACTGATGAGGGCGGCGTAGAGGAAGTACCAGCAGTCGAAGCAGTCGAAAGGTCGCCGATGGTGCGACCGCTGCGCGTCTCCATCGAGGTATGGGGGTTGTCCACCTCCACCAATAATGTTACAAGTAACTTGTTTAATTAGCTATTTACAGCGCAGAGAACCCGACGAGCAAGATGGCGTCAGACCAGCATCCAACGGAAAAACCCACTTCGTCCTCCTCTTTCTTGCAGCCGTGTTTAGCGGCTGTTTTGTATCAATATGAATAGGGATGTTAAAAAACTTGGAGTATGTACGTGTGAAGAAAACCGAAAAAAAGGGGCTCTCCAATCACAAAATTTCCACACAAACATTTATTTTCCCAGAGCAATCGTAAGTGTGAATGAACACAGCTAGGGCACACCAAGCACGCGAATACCGAGCTGGCGCGAATACCACGTCAGCCGGGGCAGCGTGACGCCAATGTTTCGGACACTCGCCGCACCCATGCCGTTTACCCCCATATCATTGGTAAATCGAAACACTACATCATTGAATTTAATGTCGAACTCACCCCCGCAGGGGTGAGTGGGCCGATCCCGGAGGTAGCCCCGCCGCGGTGGTCTAGTGGCTAAGGTACTCGGCTGCTGACCCGCAGGGCGCGGGTTCGAATCCCGGCTGCGGCGGCTGCATTTCCGATGGAGGCGGAAATGTTGTAGGCCCGTGTACTCAGATTTGGGTGCACGTTAAAGAACCCCAGGTGGTCTAAATTTCCGTAGCCCTCCACTACGGCGTCTCTCATAATCATATAGTGGTTTTGGGACGTTAAACCCCACATATCAATCAATCAATCGATCCCGGAGGTAGTGCAATACCGGGCCAACCCGTGGCGGAGGTGAAGCAAGCTTCAAGCACTCCGCCGCATCACAAAAATAAGTTTAATATCTTGGATCCAAATAGGATCCGTATCAGATATTAAGCTGATAAGAACAGAGGTTTTCAAAAATGTTAGGAACATTTCTGACCGAAAAGGAAAAACTTGTTCTCATTTTTTGTTCCTTCAACCAGAAAGGAAGAAGGTGGTGTATAGTGAACTGTGTAGAAAGAGAGAAGGTGAAATAGGAAATAGCAGGGGAGAAAAAGTGAAAGGGGCGTGTGCTGTGTAGTATCGCCTCTTATTTTTGCAATGTTTTTGGGAGGGTGACTTTGTCAGCACGTGGCCCAGCGAGTGACAGTCACTTTATGGCCACGTGTGCGCAGTACACTTCCCGAGAAGCTGCAATGGTCTCGCTCACTGCAAGCTTCTTAAGTAACCGGAGATATCTCCGGCTGCAGAGTTTTTTGAAAACTCTGTCATTTGCCGGGTCCCAGGAGCCAAGCATGCCGACGACGACTGCTTCGATCGTGACTCTCTGGTAGCGGCGGAGCAAGAAGTCCCGAACTGGTTCGTATTTTCGTTCCTTTTCCAGTCGGGCTGCCTCGAGTGCTTTGAGCCGGTTGTCAAAGGGGCAGGTCACGTCCACGATGATCGCCTCTTCCCCCCTGGCGAGAACGAGGTCGGGGCGAAGGTTGGTGGTACCAACCGCTCTGTTCTCATGCGTGACCGTGAACTTCTTGCTGGCGGCTTGTTTCACCCTCGCCACAATCTTGTTGTGACGACTGGTGTAGGCCATGCTGTGGCGCATGCAGTGACCCAGGACGTGTGGCAGCGTTTCCACTGCGTAACCGCACACACGGCACCGTTTGTCGGCGGAGGTGGTCCATGGGTTGGCTCCATTCACAGGTAGGAGGTTCAGGCGTGCCCTGTGAATGAAGCGCCAGTCGCAAAAGCGGGTGAATTTGCCGGAGCGCATGAAGTGGGAGCTGCTCGGGTCTGCGGCGACGCATTCCATTGCCTTCCCTTGATTGGGCATTTCTTGAAGGAAGCGATCGCGTGCCCGCATCATTCGGAAGCGCAGCGTTTTCACCACTTTTCGTCGTTTCTTTGACGTGAGAGTTTCCTCTCCGTCACACGTGATGCTGGTCCCCCCGTCCTCGAAAATTTCCCAGGTGACGTGTAGCCTGCGGGAAGCCTTCCGAGCCTCGGTCCAGACGGACTGCAGTTGTGTCGGCCGTGCCTGGAAAATGCCCTCCGTTTCGCCGCTGAGGTAGCAGGCGAGCTCCTCGTTGGTGGCCTGCCTGCGAATGCGCTTGGAGACAATTTTGGTTAGCGCTTCGAAGGCAAGTTCCCGGACCTCGAGATCGGCTGAGGTCAGAAGCTTGAAGGCGTTGTCCACGCGGCAGGCGTCACTTGTGTCTGCGGCGAGGGGGATTCCAGCTGCTCCGGCCGCTGCGCTGCCGTAGAGGTAGTTGTTTGCAGCGTTACCTGGAAGATAAAGAGTTTTCTTTATCAGGGGCCGGAGTGCGTCGTCTAGGCGGGCCCATTCCGCCTTGCCCACTTGTCCGCACCGCATGGCGAAGTTGAGTGCTGGAAAGACAAAAGTTTTCAGTGCATCAATTCGCTGCCATGGGGCAAGCATGGACTCGAGCAGGGTGCGGCCGACGGAGATCGCCTCATCGACCTTAGAGCGGTCTTGGAGAAGGCTGAACCCGACGGGGCGTCCTAGAAAAGATTGACTCTCGTAGTCACTGATGCGAGGGATCTCTTCTCCGTCGACGAAGAATTTCGTGTCCCTAGTGCCTACGGGAGTCCTACCAGAGAGGTGCAGGCTTCTGCACTTCTTGGGGTTCAGCCGAAGTCCCAGCTGGCCCGCGAGAGCCGCCACGACGTTGATGCGGTCCTGCAGTTTCTTGGGGCTGTCCGCCAAGGGGGTCAAATCATCGGCGTAAGCCAGCACATTGTGCTGCCTCTCACCTCCTTGGACCGCCCGAATGACTGGATCGAGCACCAAGTTGAAGAGCAGGCCGCTCAGTGGGCAGCCCTGTCTAATTCCGGCGGAGATTGTGACTGGGGCCGTTGTCCCAGCTTCGGCGACAATCCGGGTGGCGTTGTCTCGGTAGAGGTCTGCGATGATTGCGCAGAAGTCCTCTCCTGCACCTGCACCACGAAGAGAATCGATTAGTGCGTTGTGCGGAACTGAGCCAAATGCGTTGGCGAAGTCGAGAAAGGCCACGCAAAGGTCACCACCGCCGGCCCGCGCGGCGTCCAGGCGCTCCTGCAGCACGAAGTTGTGTTCAAACACGCCGTCGTGCGGCAGGAACCCCTTTTGACACCTCGAGAGCACGTCATGGTCACACACCCACTGCTGCATGCGGGAAGCTAGGCAACCCGCATACAGCTTGGAGATGGTGTTCCCAAGGGCAATGGGTCTCCAATTCGTGACCTCACTCGGATCACCCTTCTTGTGGATGAGGATGGTCCTCGTTTCCTTCCAGGCGTCGGGCACTTGCTTGTACTGGAGGCACACGTTGAATGCTGCGGAGAGAAAGAGACCTTCAGGATCATGTTCTTTCCAATGGCGGTAGGTGATCCTGTCACTGCCGGGGGCCGTGTTTTCGCATCTGCGAAGACGGGCCGCCACCTCGTCGCTGGTGAATCGGGCGAGGCAGATCTCTGTCATGTCGTCCGGGCGAGCCTTGTTAAGGAGCAGGTGGGTGTTCCCTTCCTTCGGCGCCCATGTTTCAGCAAAGTGTTGCTCCAGTCTGTCCAGCGGAATCTCGCAGAGTTTGGTTTCGCCCTGTACGATGATACGAACAGCCCGACGGCGGTTGCGACGATACAGGCTCTGTATCTGCTGGGCGTTGTTCGGGTTGGTCGGGACGCGGGGTTTCCCACCGGCAGGGTTGTCTGGAATTTTCGCCTCCCTCCTCACCGCCGATACGGCCTCCTCCAGGATGGAGAGGAAGTCGTCCCAGCGCTCAGCAGTGGCGGGCTCCCGAAGCAGTTGCCGGATTCGCTGGGTGTGCTCTGCGAGTACGCTTGTGTCGTCGATTGGCCCGGAGAGGGTGATCTCGCCGGGGTTCACTGTCTGTGGGGCGGGGTCCTGTGACTCGCCGCCTGCGTCGTCTATCGAAAGTCCCTCGGATGACGTTGGAGGTGTGGGGGAGTCGACGCTGTGGGTGATACTCCTGGCTGATGGACTTGCTTGAGGGTCCTCCTGTGCTGTTGCCAAGCTTTGTTGTGGTGCTCCTTGCTGGCTGGTCCTCTGAGTAGCGCGGGCTGTGTCTGGATCCTGCTGGAGACGGGACGAAAACCGTGACCCTTCTGGTGGTGACTCCTCCTCGCTGGTTGCTGATGGAATTGTCGCATCCCTGGAGCTCTGGCTTGGAGAGCAAGCTGTGCTGCCTAAGAGAGGAGGGAGAGGGGTAAGGGCCCGGTCCGGTGATGGTGGCCGGGAACGCCGTGGGTTGTCGTGGTCCGTGTCGCTGTGCGGTGACTCATGTTGCCTGGGACTCGGCGTGATGGAGGATGCATTTCCAACCTGTGAGAACAGAGAGGCACATGAAGACCTGCTCCTCGCGGTGGCGGCCTCGCTAGGCGTGGGCGATGGGGTGCCCGTAGTTGCCGAAACCCGGTCAGGGATTTCCTGCAAGTCACCTAGAAGGGGGGAGGAAGGTGTGAGTGCCAGCTCTGTTGGTGCTGGAGAGTCCGGCGTTGCGCTCAGTGTCGTGCTGTCCTCGCTTGGTGATGATCCCGTTGACGTCGTTGAGTTGGAGCTCTGTGACGATCGAAGGGTCATTGTCCGTGTGGCTTGGTTGCCGGCAGCAGCGCGGGGGGGTCGGCCAGTCGGAGTTGCAGTAGGTGCCGCCCTCGAAGTCCTTGCAGTCGTTGGTCGCTCGTTCATGTGCTGTGCTTCCTGTTTTTGTGTTTGCGCATGTGGTTGTCCAGCCCTTTCCTTGTTGTCATGGTGGCAGGGCATTGTGGACACTTGTGCCTGTTGAGGTCGAGGGGCGACAGCTCGTGTCTACCTCTTGAGATGCAGGAGTGGAGTGTGGGATGCAGCCCAAGGCCGGTCGTGGAGCAGAGGGTACAGGTGTATGCCACCTTTACTTTGAGCTCATGCTCGTCTAGCAGATGCCGCACCAAGCTTTGTCGCCTGCTTGTCCAGCTGATCCCGGAGTACCGTACCCCACATTTGTCTATGGGGCAGGTGAAGCTGTGTGGGATTGGGAAGAAGACATCAAGGGTCTGTCCCTCCTTGCCTAGCTGGGGTTGGTTTTGGGCATCTCGCGGCCTCGGTGCAGTGGGCGTCCCGGCCTCCCCTGTATTCGGGGGACCTACCTCCTCGGACATCACCTACTGGCGGGCGAACACTTCTAAAGAGATGGGGTATTTGCAGTAAAGGGTATATCATCGTACTGGCACTTGAACATCATGAAAACAATAAAACACTTCAATAAAAAGACGGCACTGTACACTTTTGAGGAGAAAAAGAACTAAAAGTGAAGAAAAAAAGGGGGGGTGGAGGTCGTCAACCCATGCTTAAGCGGAGCAGGCGACTTGAAAGAAAGAAGAAGGGTGTGCAACCATCCCTTGACAGGGAAGGTAAGCGAAAACGAGAGGAAAAGAAGAAAAAAAAGGAGAGGCACGCTTGCTAAAGGAAGAAAAAAAAGATAAAGGGAAAAAATGGTGCGTACACCAGTGAGCGAAGTAGGGGGCTACAAGGCTACATGGTTAGTGCAGCCGGCGGCCCCGAGAGGGCAGAGGCAGTGATGGACTGCCTTGGAAAAGGGTAGAGCAAGACAGACAGGTAGAGAAATGAAAGGAGAAGCATTTGGAAAAAAAAAGAAATAGAAACAGAAGATACATGGGAAACCGGTTGAGCGGACCCTCTACTGACACGTGTCAGCAGAGGCGCTTCCGGAAAAAAAAAAGAAAGACGTGCGAGGGCAGAGAGAAAGTCGCCTGACTACATTGTTAGTGTAGCTGGCAACAGTGAAGCGGGAGGGAAGCCTTAGCAAGGGCCACGTGGACGGAAAGTAGAAGAGAGGAAAAAAAAGAGGAAAGAAAGTGAAGAAAGAGGAGAGAGCGGAGACGCCGCTTCCACGCGATCACCAGCGGAGCTCGCTGGTGTCCAGAGTAGAGGCGCGCTCCGAGAGAAAAAAAAATGCGTGCAAGGAAGGCTTGCGCTATCTTACATCACTTGGGCAGGTGATGCAAGAGCCGCTGAGCCAACTAATACGCAAGAAAAAGGGTGCTTTGCGGACGGGGAGCTGCCGGCAAGGCCGGTTGGAGCAGCCCGCCTCGCCGAGCACGAGAACCCACCCCCCCAAAGGGGGGCGGAAAAGAGGGGCAAAAAAGAAGTGTTTTAAAGAACTAGCATCTCACCAATGACCAGAGCCAGAAATCCAGGGCAGCAGGAACCAGGCGTCAGCAGGAGGGTCCAAGAATCCGCAGGCAGTCGTTGCTGGTCGCTCGAACAAGCTAAGATGGCATGCACACAACAACAACAACAACACAAGAAGAGACAGAGAAAGACACCGCACTAACCGGGCGGGTGGTCGATTGCTTCTTCAAAGAGCAGGAGTAGGATGGACAAGCCAACACTACAACAAAGAGAATTTATTGTACAGGTTTCGGAACTATTTACATATGTCTTCACCGACAATGATCTTGTTGCTTCGTGTTCTTGGGGCCGCGACGCGCTATCTCGTACTATCTTCTACATGAACCATGCACTTGCCTCGTCATGCTACGGAAGGCCTATAACATCCTTTACAATGTTAAATGAAAGGGGTGAGCATAAGAAGACGTTCTACACTGAATCGCAGGGAGGAAGTGATGCTTTTTACACTTTACACAAGTGTGCGGGTGCATTCTTATACAAGGCACACAAAGGGAGTACAATAAGCGGTGTTATAACATGTCCTTATGTCACTTCACAGGCATGCTTGTCCTTGCGTGTTTGTCTGAGGGTGGAACGCTAATGTGGGGTGATTGGGAGGTTGATCTTCACCTCCTTAACAAAAAAGAATTTTGTATGCCAGCGGCGAAGAAATGCTTCCTCACCGCTCGCCTCTAGCTCGTCCGCAAAAGTCTGTGGATTCGCGCTATTGCTGGGAATGCTGCACGTATCGGCGTTTTTCGAACATCGGCCAGGCAACGCCGCTTCCATATTATGAACATGGTGCATGCGATAACCAGTCGTGCAAACGCACCCTTGTGCCGAGCCAGTGCTGGGGAGGTCGGATCTTGAGAACTCGCGCCACCAGCCGCCAGACGGGTATAGCTGCGGGGCACTCTGCTTCGATATTTCAGTAGCCCGACAGTTGGGGCACTGGTCTGGTGGTCTCCGAAGTTGTTGAATCGTTGCCGTGTTGGGAGGACGTCCCAGTTCAACTTCCACACGAAGTCTTGCACTTCTCTTGCGCAAAGAGGCCTCTTTGTAGCGTTTTCCTTTTCCATGTGCCTACTTTCATTCTCTCTTCTTCAGAGAGCTTGTTTTTTACTACTGTCTCCGCAATGCTTACGGGCGGGTCTTTGTTAATGTCGCACTCAGAGGCTTCTTTCTGTATCATGCGCATTGTTATTGCTGCTGTTTTGTAGAACGGCGACGGTGTTTCCGCGAGTGGTGCCATATGTCTCCCGGTGTCAAGAAACTCTGCGTTCGTACTCGCCCAGTGTCGCAGGAGGTTCCTGCCGATGAATTCGCCAGCTTGGTGCAGGGTTTGTGCGGTCTTTAGGGCTATAATTTTGCTCGTTACCATGACGTGTGGTATGGCGAGACCCCCTTCACTCATCGGTAGATAGAGCAGTTTGCGTCTAATCGCGGCAGGTTTCCCGTCTCACAATAGGTGCCCGATGATCTTATTCAGTTCGCTTGCTATTCGGGTTGGGATCACCGCAAACCAGCTGACGTGGTTTGCGAAAGCGCATACGCTCAAATTGACTACTTGCACCTTCTCCCGCAGGGTGAGCTCAAGGTTTTCGTCGCGGGTAGCCACCCGTTGAGCGCGCTCCAGCGCTTGCTGCCAAGTCGTCTCTGTGATGCCGTTACAGCTGAAGTAGATTCCGAGAACCTTCACCGTGTCTACCGTCCCAATATTCCCGAGTGCCTCTTCAGGGAAGGAGCCAAAAATAAGCGCTTTGCTTTACTCCGAGTTCAACTCGGCAGCAGAGGCCTGTGCGTAACTGTGGAAGGCGCTCCGGAACTCGCGTAAGCTGCGTTAGTCTCTTAAAAAAAGAGACACATCGTCGGCGTACGCCAGTACCTTGAGGTCGGCGCTTCCGGTCAGTGGGAAACCTCGGATGTTAGAGGCTGTGGTCAGGATTGTCAGCTGCGGTTCAATCGAAAGGATAAACAAGGTAGGACCCAACGGGCAGACCTGTCTTATACCATCAGTGTAGCTAAACGAAGGCGTAACCGCACCGTTTACAACCACGTTGCTCGTCAAGTCCGAAAATAGAAGCTTGATGAGGTCGACGGAAGTCGTTGGTAAACCAAACTCCTGCATAACCTGGAATAGGTACACATGCCTGACCTTGTCGAATACTTTGGCTTCTTCTAGTGAGAGAAATACACCAAAAAGCCTCTTCTGGGTCTCTTACTCGAAAGCATCTCTCGTGACCATTAAGTTCGCATACATGGAGCGGCCGGGAACAGCACACGCCTGGCATGGGGAGAATAACGTCGACAAGAGTGGCTTCAATCTGTTGTTCAAGATGGCAGCAGTGATCTCATAGTCGACATTAAGCAGGGTTATCGGGCGTCACGATTCTGGGTCTTCCGGGGGTGAGCCCTTCTTGTACAACAGTACTATGCGGCTGGCACCAAAGGAGGCGGGTTTCTTTTTTTCAGTGAGAAAGGCATTCACTGTTTCCAGAAGGGCGTCGCCCAGGCAGTCGAAGAATGTGGCGTAAAAGCCCGCCGTGAGCCCATCCGGTCCTGGGGCAGAATCCGGAGGCATGTTCCGTATAGAGCTGCTCAATTCTTCCATCGTTGCTTCACTGCATATACTTGCAAGCTCCTCCTCTCCGGATGCCGGAGATTCTGGCAGAGAGCTTTAACCAGATGTAGTGGGGGACCGTCTTCTCGTGGTTCTCTTTCTTGAAAGCAGCTTGCGAAGTGGTTTTGGAAGATGTGTGCTATTTCATGCGGGTCGGTAGCCATTGAACCGTCTGGGCGTTTCACCTCTGCCAGTTGCATACCGCCATTTCCGTGCACTTCTCTTATGTCGTTGTAGAAGGGGTTCTCTTGACCTGTTGGCTGTGCCAGCCGGCTTGTCCTGCGCTTTAGCAGCTTAGCGTGGGTTTCTTCCAGAACGGCGAGATAATCCCTTGTGCATGACGTCAGGAGCTCTGCCCCCCGAATAATTCGTATCCTGCGGATGATTTCATTCATCTGCTGTGTCAGCCTCTTTTTCCTGTCTCTGCCCTCCTCCTGCAAGATGTCCTTCCACGAGCTCTTCAGCAGGTCTCAATTTTGCGGGTTTAAGGGGATAGCGGATTCTACTGACTCCCGCAGGCGGTCTTCGATCCGGGTGATGCAAACGTCGTCTTGCAGAAGGTTGGGATCTATCCGCCAGCCTAGGTCTCCCAGGCGTTGTCCGAGTGATCCTCTCAACACCGTCACTAGCGGTACATGATCTGATCTCTTTGCAAGGTCTATGGGGGGGGGGGGGACAACACTTCTCCCCTAACTACTGAGGGAACCAAGCAGTCCGGGAAATAGATGCGATCAACTCGGCTTTGCGTGGTGCGGGAGGTCCTGGTTGGCCCGAATCGAACATTGTGCATATGTACCCAGACATCCGTTAGGTTGATATGTCTTAGGACGTTCACCGATTCTCTTGCATGGTATGTTGACCCCCTCTGGCCGGGACCCCTGAAGTCTCGCTGTGCGTT